GAGTAGTAGTAGTGAGAATGCAGCCACTGAGAGGTCACGTCTCTCTCAGATCAAACAATTCTCACTTGAAAAAGTTGTCCAAGGTGTTTTCTATACCAAGATGCCATTGTGTTGCAGTGTCTGACAGGGTGAATATCAAAATGGTATACAATACCGACAGGTTGGTAGGTAAGACACATAGGCAACAGTTAGGCAACTTTATTCCGAAACGTTTCACCTACACAGTAGGCTTCTTCAGTCGAATACAGAAAGTAGGCAGGAATTGTTGCCTATGCGTCTTACCTACCAACCTGTCGGTATTGTATACCATTTTGATATTCAATACTTACTTTTATTGAAGTTGTATTGATGAGTGGTGAGATGGGAGGAGGGCAGAGGATGGAAGAGTTTACAATTGTTTGGAAGGGGAATCCCCTTTCATAAAGACTTCAGGTAACAAGTCCTTTTCTGGGGTTACCTCCCTTCTTTTTTTATAATGCCACTAGGACCAGCTTGAGAGTTACTGGACCCCTGTCGCACCAAAAATCTGTCCAGAGAGCTTTGTTTCTGGGGTCTCTCTAAGATTTCCCTAAAATGGGACACAATATTGTCATTGTAGATGTTGCCAGCATGGCCTGCAACAGCTTCCCAAGCAAAAAGCTTTGATAATTCAATTCACTCATGCACAAGTTCCAGTCAGATCAAATCGTGTGTGTGGGGAAGTACCTTGTCTGGTATGTGGGGAAGTACCCTGGCTGGTATGTGGGGAAGTACCCTGGCTGGTATGTGGGGAAGTACCCTGGCTAGTATGTGGGGAAGTACCCTGGCTAGTATGTGGGGAAGTTCCCTGGCTGGTGTGTGGGAAGTGCCCTGGCTGGTATGTGAGGAAGTACCCTGGCTGGTATGTAGGGAAGTTCCCTGGCTGGTATATGGGGAAGTTCCCTGGCTGGTGTGTGGGAAGTGCCCTCGTTGGTGTACATAAGAGAGCAGGAACACTGCAGCAGACCTGTTGGCCCATACTACCACCATCACTTCCACCATCACTACCACCCTTTACCACTACCACTTTCGTATCTTTCTACAAACTTTTTCTTAAGTTCTGTAATGTTTCTCACCCTCTTTACCACAGGGCTGGCACTAGAAGCTTTCTTTGGGCTCACTAAAAACAATGGAATAATACAAAATATATTGCATGTACGCGTGGAATCGTCCTAAACAATGGCACACTGGCTGTACATGGAGTGTCCGGGCCACTCACGCCGCGCTGACACATTTGGGACAAATGTCCTTAACCAAGTTCTTTTTCGGTAACCGAGCCAATATTTTGACGCAAAAACCTGTCGCTTTCCGATTTTTTCATTATCTGATGATATTGTTACCTGAGGGTCCACTGTACTGGTTTTCGCACAGAGTTGTGGTTGTGTGGAACAATCTTCCGAGTAGGGTGATCGAGGCTAGGACCTTGGGTAGCTTTAAAAAGAGATTGGACAAATATACGAGTGGGAGGGGCTGGGTTTGATTGGTATCATTGGGTACGGGGGTAAATTCTTGGGTAGCTTTGGGTAGGGGTGCTTTTGATAAGGACCTGCCTTGTATGGGCCAGTAGGTCTTCTGCAGTGTTCCTCCATTCTTATGTTCTTGTGTAGCATTTATTCTGTTAGTGGGTTGGATTTGTGAAGGACCTGCCAAGTATGGGCCAACAGGCCTGCTACAGTGTTCCTCCTTTCTTATGTTCTTATGATGAAGCTGCCTTTATTTTGCTTGTGTTAGAAATAGTGATTAATGATTATTCCAAGCATTTACATCTGCAGAAATTAGGCTCTCTGATCATTAGTTGGGTGTCGTTGAATTTCATGGGGTGATTGGTGGAATTCCAGTGTTGTACGCAGGCATTGTTCAAGTTATTATTTCTACATGCATTAATGTGTTCATTGAGATGTGTTTCAAGGTTCCTTGCTGTTTCACCTACTTATATCCTGTCACAGCCTCCACAAGGTATAGTGTAAACTCCTGCATTGACTGGTTGATGGTGGTTCGATTTTGTCCTGGTTAGATTCCTTATGGAAGTGCTGGATGCGATGGCGTTGCTAGTGTTTGTTTGGGGTACCTTGGAAACGTTCATTGCAACCTGGCTGTTGGGAAGGATTATAACTTTGTTAGGAGTGGTGTTGGTGCATGGAGAATTGATGATCTTAAGAGTTCTTTTCTTGTAGTCTTCGATGAAAAAGGAAGGAAGTTGTAGATCGGTGAAGGTTTTGTACTTAAAAGTACATTCCTCATCAAGAAACTCAGGGCTACAAATTACGTATGCTATTAGGAAAAATCTGATGATGATGATGCGTCTTTTGGTCTTAGTATCACGGTCAGTGGTGCAATACTTGTGTAGTATATATATATATATATATATCTATATATATATATATTATAAATATATATATATATATATATATATATATATATATATTTTTTTTTTTTTTTTTTTTTTCAACAAGTTGGTCGTCTCCCACCGAGGCAGGGTGACCCCAAAAAAGAAAGAAAATCCCCAAAAAGAAAATACTTTCATCATCATTCAACACTTTCACCACACTCACACATTATCACTGCTTTTGCAGAGGTGCTCAGAATACAACAGTTTAGAAGCATATATGTATAAAGATACACAACATATCCCTCCAAACTGCCAATATCCCAAACCCTCCTTTAAAGTGCAGGCATTGTACTTCCCATTTCCAGGACTCAAGTCCGACTATAAGAAAATAACCGGTTTCCCTGAATCCCTTCACTAAATATTACCCTGCTCACACTCCAACAGATCGTCAGGTCCCAAGTATCATTCGTCTCCATTCACTCCTATCTAACACGCTCATGCATGCTTGCTGGAAGTCCAAGCCCCTCGCCCACAAAACCTCCTTTACCCCCTCTTTCCAACCCTTTCGAGGACGACCCTACCCCTCTTTCCTTCCCCTATAGATTTATATGCTTTCCATGTCATTCTACTTTGATCCATTCTCTCTAAATGACCAAACCACCTCAACAACCCCTCTTCTGCCCTCTGACTAATGCTTTTATTAACTCCACACCTTCTCCTAATTTCCACACTTCGAATTTTCTGCATAATATTTACACCACACATTGCCCTTAGACAGGACATCTCCACTGCCTCCAGCCGTCTCCTCGCTGCTGCATTTACCACCCAAGCTTCACATCCATATAAGAGTGTTGGTACTACTATACTTTCATACATTCCCTTCTCTGCCTCCATAGATAACGTTTTTTGACTCCACATATACCTCAACGCACCACTCACCTTTTTTCCCTCGTCAATTCTATGATTAACCTCATGCTTAATAAATCCATCCGCCGACACGTCAACTCCCAAGTATCTGAAAACATTCACTTCTTCCATACTCCTCCGCCCCAATTTGATATCCAATTTTTCTTTATCTAAATCATTTGATACCCTCATCACCTTACTCTTTTCTATGTTCACTTTCAACTTTCTACCTTTACACACATTCCCAAACTCATCCACTAACCTTTGCAATTTTTCTTTAGAATCTCCCATAACCACAGTATCATCAGCAAAAAGTAACTGTGTCAATTCCCATTTTGAATTTGATTCCCCATAATTTAATCCCACCCCTCTCCCGAACACCCTAGCATTTACTTCTTTTACAACCCCATCTATAAATATATTAAACAACCATGGTGACATTACACATCCCTGTCTAAGACCTATTTTTACCGAGAAGTATTCTCCCTCTCTTCTACACACCCTAACCTGAGCCTCACTATCCTCATAAAAACTCTTAACAGCATTTAGTAACTTACCACCTATTCTATATACTTGCAACATCTGCCACATTGCTCCCCTATCCACTCTATCATATGCCTTTTCTAAATCCATAAATGCAATAAAAACTTCCCTACCTTTATCTAAATACTGTTCACATATATGCTTCAATGTAAACACTTGATCTACACATCCCCTACCCACTCTGAAGCCTCCCTGCTCATCCGCAATCCTACATTCTGTCTTACCTCTAATTCTTTCATTTATAACCCTACCGTATACTTTTCCTGGTATACTCAGCAAACTTATTATTATTGGAGGCAAATTAGATGAGAAAGAAGATAGAATGTTCAGTGAGAACATTTATTGCAAGTGCTGTACACTATAAAACAAGATGTTTATGATTTTGTAAGTCATGGATGTAGGTTATATTATCACAATAAAAACTGTTAGCAAAAGTTATATGGTACATGAAATCCATGGCTAAAGGACATAATTATATGGTTGATAAAGATAGGATATTGAACATTCTAGTTGCATAAAGAAAGAGCGAGAGAGTTGTTATACACATTGAAAACGTTTATAATTAGGAGTTCTTGTGCTAGGTCTAGCCTTCGATTTCATACAGGTAGGTAGTAGGTTGAGCAAAGGGCTAGTAACCCCTTTTCCTGTACACATTACTAAAGTTAAAAAGAGAAACTTTTGTTTTTCTTTTTGGGTCACCCTCCTTTGGTGGAATAAGGCTGGTTTGTTGAAAGGAGGAGGTGGTAGTAGATTGGTGGATAGCATCCACCAAGGAAGGTAATGCCATCCTGTCATATGAAAATGAAATGGAAGTGCTTTTTTTGGGGTGTGGGGGGGGGGATTCATGAAGATATAAGATAGTAGATATGTAACTCTAAATCTTACAAACCTCTACTTGGAGTCAGTACTGTATACACTTACTTTTATCTTCACTTGTTTCTTAACATTTCTTACTTCTACAATATTTCCTTTGTAATTTAAGAGGCTTGGTGTGAACCTAGGCCAAAGGGGCATTGATCCTCGGAACCATTAAAATATAGAAAACAAGATTAAAAGATAATTGACGGTATTGTAAGTACAGTACATCATTACTTATTAGTTTATGCTTATAAAATAAAGTATTTTGATTTCTATATTATTTTAAAGAGATTAATAATTTTCTTCTTTTCCACAATGTCTGTAATGGATTCATCAATGTATCCAGCCACTGCGAAGTGAATTGCGCAGAGTAAGTTACATTATTAAATGTGTTTACTAGGTCTGAAGAAATAAACCTTTTTGAATTAAGGTAACATCTTTAAAGTTAAAAATCACATAAGGATATAATAGACACTTCATATATTTTAATTTTTTTTTATACAGCATTTGTGTTAACTGATCTCCAACTCGTGCTTTTGTATTTGTGTATTTTTTTTTTTTTTTGTTTTAGTGCAGTATATTACTTTTATAGTAAATTTATGTAAAACACACTTATTCCTATATGGTTGCCTTATACGGTACTATTATTTAGCATTTGTTGTCCTTGGTGACTGTTATTATTTTTTCTCTTAATTGATGGCTTAGAAATGCTTTCATAATTAATAATTTTATTATGTGAAAGCATATTCTCTTGGACTATGGAAGTTGCTGTTTTACTTTAGCCGACAAAATTGTTTTTGTCCATCCTGCACAGTTACATAATGGCTCACGAGTTGAAATTAAGTAGAGTAGGTGCAGCTGTCTTTCTGACTAAATTAAAGACCTAAATGTTTACAGTCTTCATTGGAGCCACATACCCATACATACAGTGGAACCTCGGTACTCAAACTTAACCCTTTCAGGGTCCAAGGCCCAAATCTGGAGTCACGCACCAGTGTCCAAGAATTTTCAAAAAAAAAAATTTGTTATTTTTTCTTATGAAATCGTAGAGAATCTTTTTGTGAAGGTAATAAAACAAAAAGTACGAAATTTGGTGGAAAATTGACGAAATTATGCTCTCGCGAATTTTGATGTGTCAGCGATATTTACGAATCGGCGATTTTGCCGACTTTGACTCCCATTTTAGGACAATTACATATTCAATCAAGCCAAATTCTTAGCTGTTCACTAGTATAAACTCTATTCTATCAGATTGAGCACAAAATCGCCAAGTCAACTGTTTCAACTACAAATAAAGTGATCGGAAATGTTAATTTGGCCAATTAACACAAAGTCAAAATATTCCAATTTCAAAATAGGGTCCAGAATAAACAATGTAGGCATTCCTGCACTAAACTAACATTTCCTCTGTTCATTAGTCATGTTTGAGGCTTTACAAATATATTCCATTTTGATTTTATTTCACATAATGAATTTTTAATTCACACCAAAAAATAAGATTTATGCTAAGCAATACTGTTATAATTGTATAAATATCATCACCATATTTGTGAATGTATATTAGACCCACCAGCTGACGTGTATTAGACGTGTGAGGTTGTTTGTTTACTCTTGAATATCGGCAAAAATTTTAAACATTTCCGCTACTTTGAGCTCAGTTTCACGCCATTTCCAGTGCAAAAACCAATCAAAATCATCTCTATTTCTGTAATTATGTCTTCCATTCTATCAAATGATGACCAAGAATCGCAAATACATCCTATAAAAAACATACGAAAAAAACACTGCAAAGTTGCATGTTTAAATCAAAAAATCATGATTTCAGTTTTTTTCTCTCATTATACACAGTGTGCTGCAGGATCTGTTTTATGTGGTGCACACATACCACATAGATGTATTCTCTCATATCTAGGCCCAAATGTACCACTCACAGTTTATCAGAGTGAGCTGAGCTCATGGCGTAGATCTACGGTTTGGACACTCACCATAAAGCCGTAGATCTACGGGACGGACCCTGAAAGGGTTAATCTTTTCCAGAAGGCTGTACAAATACTGTACGAATATTTCCCAACCAATTTTCTGTTTGGTTGGCTGTTATCACTACTCATCTTAGGCTCCACTGTGACTTATTTATACATATAATATAAAAAACACCAACAAATGCAAAAAAAAAACAAAAATTGTTGGGTCGAGTGCCAAGCAAACAGTTGACTACAGAGTGATTTTTTTTCCAAACAAAGCATTCAGATACCGAATTGTTCAAGTAGGGAGCTGTTCGAGTACTGAGATTCCACTGTATGTTCCATTTAAAAAGTCTGAAATAGCGTTTTTAACCCTTTCAGGGTCCGTGCCGTAGATCTGCGGCTTTACGTTCAGGGTCCAGACCATGAGCTCAGCTCACTCTGATAAGCTGTGAGTGGTAAATTTGGGCCTAGATATGAGAGAATACATCTATGTGATATGTGTGCACCACATAAAACAAATCCTGCAGCACACAGTGTATAATGAGAGAAAAAACTGAGACCGTGATTTTCGTTTAAAACAGCGACTTTGCAGTGTTTTTTCATATGTTTTTTATAGTGTTATTTGCAATTTCTTGGTCTCATTTGATGGAATGGAAAATATATTACAGAAGTAAAGATGGTTTTGATTGGTTTTAGTACTGGAAATAGCTTGAAACTGAGCTCAAAGTAGCGGAAATGTTAAATTTTTGTTGATGTTCAAGAGTAAACAAACAACCTCACACGTCTAATACACGCCACCTGGTGGGTCTAATATATGTACATTCACAAATGTGATGATGATATTTATACAATCATTACAATATTGCGTAAGAGTAAATCTTCTATTTTTTGGTTTGAATAAAAATTCATTTTGCGAATAAAAAACAAAAATGGAATTAATTTGTATAGCCTGAAAACATAACTGATGAGCAGAGGAAATGTTAGTTTAGTGCCAGGAATGCCTGCATTGTTTATTTTGGACCCTATTTTGAAATTTGTGTTAAATTGGCCAAATTACCAATTTCCGATCACTTTATTTTGTAATTGAAACAGTTGACTGGGCGATTTTTTGTGCTCAATTGATAGAATAGAAGTGATACTAGTGAAATAGCTAAGAATTTGGTCGACTGGAATAATGTAATTGGCCTAAAATGGGAGTCAAAGTCGGCAAAATTGCCGATTTGTAAATATTGCTGACACATCAAAATTCGCGAGAGCATAATTTCGTCAATTTTCCATCAAATTTCATACTTATTGCCTTCAGAAAAAGATTCCCTACCATTTCATAAGAAAAAATAACAAAAAGTTTTTTTGAAAATTCATAAGACACTGGTGCACCCTTTGAAATTTGGCCTCTGGACCCTGAAAGGGTTATAGGTAAATATTGCAAGATTTGTATACATTTAATTAGCTGAATTTGTGGCAAATATAATATCTGTTCTGTATCTACTTAGTAAAAAATTGGAAAATATAATACGAATTAAATATTTCTCTCAATGTCCAGTTTAAAAAAAATCTGAAATTATAGAGAATCTTTTTTCTGAAGGTAATTACACCAACAGTATGAAATTTAATGGACAACTTAGTGAATTATGCAAGTACAAACTTCGTAGTCTCAGCTCTGTTTACCCATCGGTGATTTTGCCCATTTTGAATCCTATTTTAAGCCAATTCCAGTGCTGCTTCATTCAACCAAATTCTTAGCTGTTTTGCTAGTATGCCTTCAGTTTTATTGGTGGGCACAAGAAATCATCCATTCAGCAATTACAACAAATCCATAAAGTTCACAGAATTAAAAAACTGACCAGTTTTACACAAAATTAAAAACTTAATTTTAAAAGTAGTCCAGCATAAACAATATTGACATCCTTGACATTCAAGCAACATGTCCCTGTTCATTAATCACATCCCCAGGCTTCTCTTATATTAAACTTACCTTCCATGTTCATTTGATAATCACACAGAAATAGAAGGTTTACTCTATTTGTCAGATAAAATATAACCAGGAATGATTAGTCATGGTTTACAGTGTTCCAATAGTTAACCCTTTGAGGGTCGAGAGGCCCTCTCCCAAACTTGTTCTCAGGGTCGCAAAATTAAAAAAAAAAAAAAAACTTATGAAATGATAGAGAATCTTTTTCCGATCATAATGCCTCCAAAAGTATGAAATTTGATGGAAAACCTACAGAATTATGGTCTTGTAAAGTTAGCATCAGCAATTTCACCCAATTCAAGCCCTATTTTTGGCCAATTCCAATGTTCCAGTCAACTAAAATCATAGCTATTTCACTAGAACTCCATTTGTTCTGTCGATTGAGTACCAGAAATTGCCCATTTACTGATTTCAACTACCCAATAAAGTCATCAGAAATTGGCAATTTGGTCAATTTCACACAAATTTCAGATACCAATTTCAAAATAGGGTCCAGAATAAACAAGACAGACATTCCTGGCACTAAAATAACATTATCTGTTCATTAGTCACATCTCCAGGTCCCTCTTAAATTACTTTTGCTTTCCTTTTCAAATTTTTATTCTCACAAAAAATAAAATATTTACTGTTATACCATTTCTGCAATGATGCAGTAGTATACATAAGTAATATCAGCACACTCATGAAAGAATATTAGACTCACCAGTTGATGTGTATTGGACTTGTGGCATGATTTGTTTACTCTTGAACATCGGTAAAAATCGAACATTTTCGCTATTTTGAGCTCAATTTCAAGGTACTTGTCATTGTGAAACCAATCAAAATCATCTCTGTTTCTGTTTCCATTCTATCAGATGAGACCAAGAAAATGAGAATACAACTATAAATACCATATGAAAATACGCTCGAAAGTCTCTGTTTTAAACCAAAAATACTGTCGGAGTTTTTTTTTCTCATTATTCACTGCGTGCTTCAGGATTTCTTTTATACTGTGCACACTAACCATGCAGACCCATTCTTTCATATGTAGGCCTACTAGCTTTCTTCCACCAGATTTGAAGGCGCTAGGATTTATGCGTACAAGTACGTGACCGACCCTGGTTGCAATAACGTACAAGTACATGACCGACCCTCAAAGGGTTAAGTCAGACCTTTTAAAAACCTATAAAACAGACCAGGGGAGGGAGAGAGGGAGCCTTACTTGTCCTCAGGAAAATTAGCAAAAATTGAATATTTCTGCTACTTGAACTCTATTTCAAGCTACTTCCATTATTAAAACCAACTAAAATCATTTGTATATTTTTTGATCCATGAAATGATACCAAATGAAACCATAAAAACTATGTGAGAAAACACCTCAAATTCGCTGTTTTAAACCACACACTGAGAGTTTTGCTATTCCCATCATGCACCATGTGGGGCAGGATTTTTTAT